TGTGTGTGTTTCTAAACTGTGTAGTTTTTGAGACAGAATATATTTTAATATTATACTGTAAGTTCAGGTGAGTTTGTTGTTTTTGTGTTTCTTCATTGTGTCAGTGTGTCACATTTAGAAGAGCACTGATGTTTCTTAAAGGGATAGTTCACCCAAATATGAATAATCTGTGATCATTTACTCTCCCTCTTTTACTTGTTCCAAACCCATAAGACTTTCATTCATCTCTGGAACACAAATGAAGATATTTTTAGTGAAATCGGAGAGATTTCTTACCCTCCATTAATTAGGGTTGCAGCTGAACACTGCAGGGCTGCAGCTCTCCAGGACCGGAGTTCGCCACCCCTGGTCTATTCCCAAATCTTCATTCAAAAGATCATACAATAAATCCATTTGAATCGAGCTGTTTAATCTAAGTCTTCTGAAGAGACAGTCACTTTATATGAACAGATATAATTTATGCTTTTGTGCACATATAAACACTGATCAGCGGACAATGATTACAGCATTCAGTTTTAATAAACGGAATGTCAAGCCTGCTTGCTTGACGCGAGAGAAGCTTGTTCTCATGCAAGTACCGTTGAACTTCTACTGATCAATGTTTATATGTGAATAAAAGCTGAATTTAAATCTGTTTACCATGTAATGTGATCATGTCTCTTCAGAAGACTTGTATTAAACCCCTCGATTCTTATATAATTATCTTTCCTAATTTTAGAAAGTTTTAAAGTGTTAAATGCCCTGCCTCCATCATTACATATCTTTGTCACGTCATTATAAGTGTTTGATCACCAAATTTGAGTGATCATTGCAAAAAATATGTTTATGTATATATATTCTGTTTATGTATATACTGTATATATATAGTACCAGTCAAATGTTTGGACACACGAATGGGAAAGTGTCCAAACTTTTGACTGGTACTGTACTATAATATACACAAAGAATATCAGCCGATATACCGATATCGGCCTTTTTTTACTCCCTAGTATCGGTATCGGCCCCAAAAAACCCATATCGGTCGGGCTCTAGTCCTTACTACCTTTCTTGGCCTTGAACGTGGTAGTTGCTGTCTATGCAGGGTCACAAAGCTCTCGGATTTCATCAAAAATATCTTAATTTGTGTTCCGAATATGAATGAAGGTCTTACGGGTTTGGAACGACATGAGGATGATATCCCTTTAAGGTTTGCATTATTAAATGGTTGTTCATAAAGCAACATGTAGTTAAAGATAAAAATTCTATTTTCAATTTAATAAAAAAAATGAAAGCATTAAGTCACAATAATATGCAGGGGCAAGCTTTAAGAGGACTAAATGAATGGAGAAGTCCTGCATGTCACCGGAGGGTTCAGTTATGACAATGATTAAACATTCGGAGGTCAAAAACTTTCTTAAAATGAAACACATAGATTGTTCAAAATATTCTGTAACATGCATTTAGAAAATATAATTTTTCATTTGGACTATGAATAAATTCTCTTATTTGTGCATACTGAAACGCACCTAATCAGCCTGGACAACTGACCTTCTCTATGTCATCCTCATCCACGTCCAGTACTGTCCCATCATGCTCCAGTTTGATTTTCACTTTCCCCTCTGGTAGACTGCCAGTCTCTGTCTTCACCACAGTGGCTGTAAAGAACACCAGAGAACACTGTGAATATTTTTTATTTCTGATTGCACACAACATCAAACAAAATTAAAACAGACTTCTAAAATTCTAGTGCCTTAAAGCGCTCCTTATTGTAATAGTAATGAAACTCATATTAAGTTACAAATGGCATAAAATCAAAATCGACCCCATTTTCTTTCTTAATAAATGTCCCTTGTGTTGTGTGTGAAACATCAGTGCACACTATTCTAAGGAAGAACATTTTTCCATAATCTTTCATCAAAATGCAATAATGTTCTCCGCCTCTGAAATGACTTTCTCTTCCACTCTAGCTCAATATTCTATTTTCACATAGGAATATTTCAAATTATGGAAGTTAAACGAGTAGAAAATGCCATTTCCTGTTGTCTTCAATTTAAAATAATACTCCGAGTTCATTTTGCATGGCTTTCGTACTAACCCAGAGAGAATCCATTCTTGTGGACCAGCCACACTTTCTCCGAACCGTACCATGCTTGCTCTGCAGCTATCTGCTCTTCTGTTTTCACCTGTGAAGGAGAGAAACATCAGTCAAACTCATTATTTATGGCTTTACACAGGTCTTTTGAACAGGAACATCACTGATATGCTTCAAATCCACTCCATGCATTCATTTGTCCACACTTATCAAAGACTGTTATCATTTAATGACAAAAATGGTCTTTTTACCCTGATCTGAGACCTCTGCTGACAGAATAACAATTAGAGTACAAAGAGGTCCCAGATCAGTCCAAAAAAACAGTTTCCCAATGTCTACAGTGGGAAATGACCTTAAAATTCTTTGGGCTGTCATGCAAGATGGGAAGAGTTTAATGGCAGGTGTAGATGAAGCCAACTCGGGCGTCAAATGATGGACGGGGTCAGATTACAAGCTAGATGTTCTGGTTGTCTGGGCATGTCTGATTCTACTGCACTCATGCTTGACCTACACACACTGGTTTGAACATGAACCCTGTGAACTGCTGTGATGGGCTGACAGTGAGAGATAGTATATCAGTGATCCATTGATTGTGTTCCAGTTCACAAGCTTCTCTCCTCTGGTGTTTGGTTAGTATATGATGTTATTATTGTAGATAAACCGGTACACTCTACAAGTACAGTGGCACATGTGAAGGAAGGGTAGAAAACACTACAGCACAGTTAACAACAATCCAATGCTAATTAAATGTTAGATGAGCCCAGATTGTCCGTTTTGCTATCTCTGAGTGTCTCTCTCAATCATGGCTCTACGGCAAGGGTTGTTGTCAATGAAATGAGATGGGTGCGAGCACAAAACTCCACAACACAAAGGCAAGTTTGACACGACAGGTCAAGGGTGGGATAATGCAACTACGGTGCACACAAAGCAGAAAGCAGACCTTAGGATGGGCGGCAGCAGCATGGTCTGCCTTTAGGATTGCCACGGGATCCTCCTCCACCTGTCCCTGTGAGATGGCAGGTCGGCATGAGGGGGCAAGAGCAGCATTAGACATCATAACACGTTATAACATGCAAACCTCTCAAACACAGTCATTCATCAGTTTAATAGCCTGCCTCAGCTCCACACAAAGAGCATCTAAAGCATCCTGTGAATAAAAAGGGTTATTGATCATGTGACATATCAGCGTAAGGCACTATGGTCACCCTTCGGAAAATAAACATTTAGCAGGGAGAATCTCATGAAACCTGTCAAGAGCAGGTCATATTTAACAAGACAAGGTTATATTTAATAAAAAAAGACAAATAATATTTTAATTTGTATTACTTTTAACGATTATGTATATTATATACATACATTTACACGTTATATATTTTTTATTTCCTTGGTCAAACATGGCATTTTTCAAGAGATTTTCCCATGTTTTTACAGCTACATTTTTGTTAAAAGTCACAATGGTGTATGTGACTATATTAAAATAAAGATATAAACATCTCTGAACATAACACGATTTATGCTAACAATAGCATGGTTAACACAGAAAGGTGATACAAGGATATATATATAGACACTATGTTGGTGATATGAGGTAATGCATAGATGAGGTAATATTCAGAGCCTGGGGCATGAGGAGACAACAGGGATATTCATAAATCAAAGTCTTCACCAATTAAAGAGCATATCCACTGCTATTCACTTATAAGCTGATCAGTGGGGCAGCAGAAGCCAATTCATTCTCACACTGAAGGTTTCATGCAGTTACATCTAACCCCGAGTCAACATGCACTGCATCAACACTGGTTTAAAATGATCACTCATACACAATAAACAAGCAGGCAATCCTTTTATCAAAGATACTGTATGATATATAAATAAATCAAGTTCAGTTAGCTAAACCGACAACATATTTGTCTTAATAAAAATGTAAGCATCTATTTTAGGTTGATAACACAAGCACAAAAGCATATATAGCCATGTATGAGGGTGGGGGTCGGTTAGAAAGGGGAACAGAGAGCTTACACTCCAACAGGCCACGCGAGCGCACACTCCGGCCAAGCCATGGAGGGGCGAAGTGGGAGAAGAGCCGTCCCCAGAGGGGCCCTGTACCTGAGACGACGCAGAGGCACTGGCCACAGGTTCCAGCTAGACCAGCCAGCCAAACAATCACAGCCACAGAGACAGCGGTGGATGACAGAGAAAGGTAGAGATGAGACATGTATCCACAGATGAAGGGACAGCAGGCACATGGAGGTGAGATGGGCATGCCTGAACCAATGAAAAACTGTTTGCTAGATAATAACGTTGTACTGCACCACATAGCAAAAGCTGAAAGTGCATGAGATGGTGATATAGGAAGGACAAAATGGACTATAAAAACAGATACATGGGGTTTAAGAGACTTATCAAAAAAACTACAATGACAACTAAGCTCAGTACCCTGTTAAAAAAACCCAACATATGCTGGTTAGGTATGTTTTGAAGCATGGCAGCTGGTTTAAGCTGGTTCTTGGTTGGTCATGAGCTGGTTTACGCTGGCCCTGAGCTAGTTATAAGCTGGTCCTGGTTATGAGCTCCTGGTCCAGGAGCTAGTTGCTTAGGACCAGCTTAGGACAAGCACATGACCAGCTTAAACCAGCTCATAACCAGCTTATATAACCAGCTCAGGACAGCTCAGCTCAAACCAGCTGCCATGCTTCAAAACATACCTAACCAGCATATGTTGGGGTTTTTTAACAGGGTAGACATCAGAGCAGAAGTTTGAGCGATTTCAAAGAGGGGAAAACACCTATTTGTTGGTCTCGTAAGCAGAGCAGCCCATAATACAGAATACAATACAAGCCCTATTCCAAAACCAAGTGAGCTGCCTTGTTGTTTACTCTCTACATAGGCAAAAAATATTGAATTGAAACCCTCTGTGGTAATGGTCTCTTAAACACGACATACAAATAACACACACACAAAAACAGTACTGTAGCGTGGCATTACCATTTGTTGCTAAGCTAACAATATGCTACACTAACAAACAAACATAGCTTAAATAAAAAGTTGGGTAAAATAGTTTTTAAATAAGATTTTTAGAATTTTTTTATGAGAAAGAACATTTCTGAATGCTTTTCAGAATTAAATGTTTGGTGTAAACAGAGTTTCCCTCAAACTGGCTGCCATTTTGAAACTTTGTGGGGGAAACCTACACAAATAAATAAGTTGAGTTTGAGTTGAAGTTGAGTTGAGTTGAGTTTTGTCTTAGGCTAGCTTGTTTAAAACTTTGCCTAAAGCTATTTTTAAGAGATTTATGGAACTGCCATTACGGTGTCTAGGTAGGCAGGTTCACTATAGTTTTATAGTTTTGAATAAAGCCATAACCTTTTTATAAAGAGACTGAGTTCGTAACCATTTGATGCAAAGGCATTATGTAGTTGCTCTGCTCACATTAATGTCCTTAAAATCCCTTGTCCTCATTAACAATATAGTGTATTAAACTCTTTCCCCATGACTATTCACTCAGCTATCAAGCTTTAAAATGCTTTATTTATAGGTCTACAGCCAGTGCAGTCAGAGCCATGTAAAACAGTAGAGATAAAGCACATTTTAGCATCAGAGAGAGTGAGTGAGTCAGATGAAAAAGATGAGGAAGCAGAAATGAAGACAAGAGGAAGAGGAGGAATGGACAGGCATTACAGGTGCAGCGAAGATCCTCTCCAGCCGTCTCTGTGCTTCTTCTGTGGGACTCAGTGGCGGACTCTCCTATAGGTCAGACCACCAAGAAGAGGTGAGTCTAACTCAGACTATGCACATAGCTTTGTTATTGAGTAATGTTATGTAGTAGCCAACATTCATTTATTCAAAAGAATAAATTGTAAAAGCTCTACACAGAACTTGACTGAAAGCAAAGTCACGAGTGTGTATGTTAGCCATGCTACATTCCCTTCCTGCAGAGCTGAGCCAGCATATCATCTAACTGCTGCAGAGTGTGATCTTAATAAAACACACACACACACACCTTTTTAGACAAGGTTGGTAGAGAGGGTTTAGAAATTCTCCCAGGAGAAGGTCTCCCTGCTTGACTTGGTGGCATACGTACGGCCGTCTTCACCTTCAAATATTATGTCCAAACCACACACAAAGTCAGAAACGTATTGTTTAAGGGACTGAACACTGAACTTAGTAACCATGCAACCAATTACAAATTAGTTTCTTCTGATCTGAAATACTAGAACCAAACTACTCCAAATCAACCATCCAGCATTCACAACACTATATGCTTTTTGCGACAAACCCAGTATCCAATCCATAAAATCTATTGTCCATGATCTTACAAAAGTGTCCACACAGATGTATGTTGCTCCTAATCTTGTCTAATCAAAACTAGTAAATGGCTCTGTGGGTCTCTGAAGTGGCTTAGTTTACTAACGGTCTTCAACCTCATTAATTTGCAAGATCTGCACACTAAAGTTGGTTTTCCAGTAACAACATTCAGGAACCACAAGTTGTGGGCTGATCTGGGCTGTGTTTCCCAAAAGCATCATAAGCTTAAGTTGATCGTAGCTCCATTGGTGGCTTTTGGGAAACACAGCCCTGTTAAATGTAAAGAGACTAGAAAGGCAACTCAGATACAGAGTTAGAAGCCTAAGAGAAGGGTGCTGTCAAACAACCAAAAGCCCACTTCCGAGAGCTACAAACCACTAGGATACAAGCAAAGAAAATGTTTAGGAAAAAAGAAAATACAGACTACATACAGACTATAAAGTGGTTCATCTTAATACTAGTAGTACACGCCATTCACATTAGTGCACTCCTCACACAGTTAAGTGAAAAACAGCAATCCATGCAGCCAAGTAAACAGTGTGATCAATACCTCTGGTTTCTTCGTAGGCATCTGTTTATTGGTGGGAATGAACCCTGATGGAGGGGCAAATGGATCTGTTTTGGGGGTTGGGGGGTTAAGGGTGTTGGTTTTACCAGGAGCAGTTGGAGCAGAGGTAGCAGCTGATTTAGGACCAGCAGGTGTAGAACTGGGGATAACAGGCAATGTTTTGGGATCTAAAATAGGAGCTGAAGGTGGAGAAACAATAGGAGCTGTTGGAACAAATC